CATACCATGACTGTCTTTCTGGGTTTGGGTTACCTCACTCAGGATGATTTTTTCTAGTTCCATCCATTTGCCTGCAAATTTCATGTTTTCATTGTTTTTCTCTGCTGAGTAGTACTCCATTGTGTATATGTACCACATTTTTTCATCCATTCTTCCATTGACAGGCATCTAGGTTTAAACCGAGGCTTTTTCTAATTCAGTCTGATTTGGTCTGATTTGGATTGCTGCATCAGTGGAGAGGCTTATTGGGGTGCAAAAACTTATCAAATAATTCTTGCTGGGTAAGCGTAAGTACAACTAGGCAGCTGTTGGGTATTCCCCAGGACGTAAGTGCCACTATTGCACCAAAATGATGTCTCTTTCTGTATCCTTTTATACACCAAGTCCAAATATCTGTTTGCTTTTGAAGGCCTAGCCTCCCAGGTTAGCCAATTCACTTGGATAGTCCTACCCAGTGGTTCAGGGACACTCCTCATCTATTTGGCTAGGCCTTATCTAGGGACCTGCTCCCCTTCTCCAGCCCTCAAGCCAAAGTTCTCCAATATGGAAGTGACCTCCTCTTTTGTGCACCCACAGAAAAAGATCCCCAAGTAAGAACTAAAGCACTCCTCAAATTCTTACCTGATAGAGGCCACAAGGGATCCAAAAAGAAAGTCCAATTGTGACAAATACTTAGGAGTGGCCCTATTTAAAGGAAAGGGAAATTAAATGAAGACCATGTGCTACCTATGTCTTCCTTCCCTTTAACAAAAATACTTAAACCTCAAGGGTTTTTAGGAACTACTGGCGTCTTGTTTCCAAGGCAATAGCTTGACCTCTATATCAGCTAATACAAGAAGCCAAGGCAGGGAAGATACAAACCCTGATCTAAAGGTCCAGAGGAACTTTACAACACCTAAACCCACCAAAACATTTTACACTGGACCCTCTGTCTCTCTCTCTCTCTCTCTCTCTCTCTCTCTCTCTCTCTCTCTCTCTCTCTGTGTCTCTCTCTCTCTGTCTGTCTCTGTCTCTCTCTCTCTGTCTCTCTCTCTCACACACACACACACACACACACACACACATACACACACACACACCCCTCTCTCCTCACCTCCCTCTGGCCCCTCTCCCCTCTCCTGTCTCCTCTCTCTGTCCTGTTTCCCTCTCCATCTCTCTCTTCTTCTCTCTTTCACCCTCCTTCCCCTCACTTCCCCTCCATCTCCCCCTCCCCCTCTCCTCCCTCTCTCTCCCCTCATCCTCTCCTCTCCCCCCTCTCTCCTCTCCCCTTTCTATGCCCTCTTTCTCTCTCCCTCCCCCCTCCCTGCCTGTCTTAGGGTTTCTACTGCTGGGAAGAGACACCATGACCATAGCCACTCCTGTAAAGGGAAGCATTTCATTGGGGCTGCCTTACAGTTCATGGCGGGAAGCGTGGCAGCACACTGGCAGCCATGGTGCTGGAGAAGGAGCTGAGAGTTCTGCATCTGGATCTGCAAACAGCAGGGAGAGAGACTGTGAGCCACATTCTCTCCCACAAGGCCACACCTACTTCTACAAGGCTTCACCTAACAGTGCCACTCCCTATGAGCCTATGGGGGCCATTTTTATCCAAACTACCACACTCCCCCCACCTCTCTTTCTTCTCTTCTTCCCTGTCCTAGGTAGGGATACTATTGCTATGATGAAACACCATGACCAAAGCAAATTGGGGAGGAAAGGGTTTGTTTGGCTTAGGCTTCCACATCACTGTTCATCAGCAAAGGAAGTCAGGACCAGAGTTCAAACAGGGCAGATGAAGAGGCCATGGAGGAGTGCTGCTTACTGGCATGCTCCTTATAGTTTGCTCAGCCTGCTTTCTGACCCAGGACCATCTGCCCAGGGTGGCCCCACCTACAATGGGCTGGGACCTCCCACATCAATCACTAATTAAGAAAATGCCCACAGGCTTGCCTACAGCCAGATTTATGGAAGCACTTTCTCAACTGATGTTCCCTCCTCTCAGATGACTATATCTTGTATCAAGTTGACATAACTAGCCAGCTCTCTCTCTCTCTCTCTCTCTCTCTCTCTCTCTCTCTCTCTCTCTCTCCCTCCCTCCCTCCCTCCCTCTCTCCCTCCCTCCTTCCCTCCCTCTCTCTCTCTCTGTCTTCTCTCTCCCTCCCCCTCTCATCTCTCCTCCCCCTCTCTCTCCCGTGTCTCTCCTATCTCTTCTCTGTCTCTCTCCCCCTCCCTCTCCCCCTGCCCCCGTCCTCCCTCTCTCCTTCTCCCTTACCCTCCCTCTCTTCTCTCTTCTTCCTCCTCCCCAGACCTTATCATTCCTGGTAATCATAAAGACCTCCAGAATGGAAGCTCCAAAAGTCATACTTTCTCACCAATGACAATAATAGTTTAAAAAGTTCTAGTTTCGCAAACAACATGAAGAGATGCATAGCTGTAAATAACACTTGTTTAAATCACCTACTTCATTCTCCTGCTCTCACTTCCAGTGGAAAAAGTGCCAAGAGTTCTGTATCGAGCCACTTCTGGTCCAAGACTTAGCCTGCAGCAGGGGAGACAGGCATTAAGGGATTTGCTTTAAAGCTGTATTTGCATAACCTCTTACACAACTTCAACAGAACATTTGCCTTCTGGTATGCCTTCCCTGGCTGCTACTACGAGTCTTGAATAAACTCTTAGAATTTGTTAAGATTGCCCAAAACAGTCTTTTGAAAAACTGTCTAGGATCAGGGAGATGACCCAAAGGATAAGCCTGATGACCTGAGTTCAATACCAGGGACCCATATAGTAGAAGAACGGAATTGATTCCTGTAAGTTGTTCTCTGACCTCCACATGCACATTCATTCGTGTGCACACGCAAACAAATATATAAATATAAATAAATAAATAAATAAATGTAGTTTTGAATTTTTCAGAAGGAAAAAAACTGTCCTACCATCCTTAGGTTTCTAATTTCTTTCTGTCTTTTCCCACTGGAAAAGGGGAGGACAAAGTCAGAGATCTTAAGTAGGCAAAGGCAGGGAAGGTAGCAAAGAGCCTCTCTCTCTCTCTCTCTCTCTCTCTCTCTCTCTCTCTCTCTCTGTCTCCCCTCCCCTCCCCTCCCCCC